TAAATATGGATTATCAAATGATTAATAGCGGTAAAAGGTAAAATAAACATAGGTCCTAAAATAAGTAATTAGACAAAATAGGCCAAGTATAAATTGCTAAGCGACCGTGCTAGAACCACGGAACCCGGGAATGCCTAACACCTTCTCCCGGGTTAACAGAATTCCTTACCTAGTTTTCTGGTTTCGCAGACTTTAAATGAAGTCAAATTTTCCTCGATTAGGGATTTAAAATAAACCGGTGACTTGGGACACTATAAATTATCCCAAGTGGCGACTCTAAAATTAAATAAATAATCCCATTTCGATTAATGTCACTTTAATTGAAAAAACTCCCTTATATCCCCCCTTTCGGGTAAAAAGGAGGTGTGACAGCTTTGGCGACTCTGCTGGGGATTAGAACCCAGAATCACTAGTTCAGGTTCAAGAATTCGAGCTTGTTAATGTGATTTTTACTTGGCTTTATTATTTGTTGATATTACTGTATTTTTGTGCCTAATGTGCTACTTGCCGCTTATTTACCGCTTTGATATTATTTGAACTGTATTAAATTGTCTTCTTACGCCTACCTTCTGAGTCTTCTAAAAAATGGTGCACACGTTCGCGTGGCTCGCTTTTCTGTTAAAGGTCATACCAAATAGAACGGGGATGGATCAGCCGCTAGGCGGGGTAGACTTTCGTGCTCCCGGTACGTCGCTCCCACCTCGGCTCAAGTTGTCCGCTTGGGTAAGCCAGGTTTAGAACACAACCCAGGTTTAAACCTAGAATAACATAACCTCATGCCGGATCCCTAGTAGGAACATTTGTTTGCATCACGTGCATTTGACTTTGGGGACTCAACACAGGGGTTGGGTCCGTCTAGGACAGTTGTACCCGAAATAAAAGACCATCTTGATGCATCTTATGTGCTATTTGTACATTTATTTGTTTCGGCTCGTATATTGACCGGCTAAGGAAAGAAATACAACAGAAAAAACAAGAGTGAGGTAGGATAGAGAATTCACCCGGTTCTGAAAACCCCGGTCTTTGAAAAATGCCTCGAAACTCTGCCAAAATTTTTGGAAAAAAAAGAGAGGAAAGGGAAATGTATTTCAAAATGGAAGTAAGTCAATACCATGTTTTTCCAATTATGTCAAAATTGACCGAACTACGCGAGTCTGATTCTCACCGGATGTGAGATACGTAGGCAAACCTCATCGGTTCTGGCCCCAATTTAAAAAAAAAATCCAAAAATATTTTCCTTTAATTCCTTCTTTAGGAGCATTTTCTTAGAAAATTCAAAAAAAAATATATTTTAAACTCAAAAATAGTTTCCTTCTTTCTGAAATCTTTCATACGGAAAAAAATAAATAAAAGGAAAAATCAATCAAAAATCAAAATCCAAAATGCGGGTTTACTTTATTTTGAAGTCTTTTTCCCAAAATCCAAAAAAAAAAATTCTTTTCCTTCTTTAAAAGTCGTTCTTTTGTAATTGTCAAAAAAAATTGAAAAAAATTGAAGTGCAAAAAATATTTTCGTTTTTCTTCAGAAGTACTTTCGTAAATTAAAAACAACAACAACAAAAAAATAGAAATCCAAAATATTTTCTTAAAAGTCCTTCTTTCGAAAATTAAGAGGCAACATCCAAAATCCAAAAATATTTTCTTTCTTCTTTAGAAAAAGAGAAAACAAATAAAAATTCAAACAAAAAGATATTTTTCTTTTTACTTTTGAAATTCCTAAAGTTCAAATCAAAAGAAAAGGAATTTTTAGAAGTCTTTCTTTCAAAAAAAAAAATATCAAAATCCAAAATCCAAAATATTTTCCTTGTTACAAGCTTTTGAGGTATGATTTGCCTATTTAAAAATGTTGAATAAATTAGAAGAAAAAAGGGTTAGCTCATTTACCTTGTTTCTAATTTTCCTGAACTACGTAATGATCTGATTCATGCGGCGTCGTGATACGTAGGCAATCATCATCGGATTCGGTCATAGCTATATATAACCTGAGTAAAGAAATAAACCAAGAGAAGAGAGAGAAAAGAAAAGGAAAATTAAATGAAAAGAGTGAAAAAAAAGCGCAAAAGTAAGAAAAAGATTCAGGATACGGAAGTTGATAAAAGAAATAGCAAGGTCGGGATGAGACATACAGTCGTCGCAAACATTTAGATACATTTATCTGATCAGGTGCATTGCATTCCCCAATATGCGATTCCCTATGTGTTAAATGTCACGAACTAACCGGTTTGTTGTGTATGCTATTAAGAACAGGTTCTATTTTTAAGTGGTTGGTTTTTGTGGTAATTTGGCTTCACACCCTTATTTCACGAGATCTAAAGGAAGTATTGCCATGACATCAGAAAGTCACCTACCCATCATTGAGCCCGAAGATAGCCTGGCATCGGTTATCCAACAACCAGAGTCAGCAGCGGCAGTCGAGGAAAATAGAAGGCTACGATGCCATGTGTTAGAAATGTGGGACGCATGGTCCAATGGCAGGGAGCCACCTAGTGCTATCTCTGGATTGCCTGAATTGATCCCCGGGACGGGAGGAACTACCAATGTCCCTATCCCGCTGACCAACCCATTCATCCCGTTTGGGTACCCCACTATGTCGGCCAATTTCACCGGTACGCCTTCTAAAGTTCGCCCCCAGGCACCGTTTTCAGGAATAGCGTCTACAATGTTCACAGCACTGCCAACCTCTACTATGGCCCAACCAACACTACCTCGACAAAGCTTTGAACCATCAACTTTCACTTTCCAAACACCCCAATTTCAATTGGACTCCGCTCGGGTTACCCCAAATTTCTATCCTCAGTACCCACAATGTGAGTCTCCCATAGAACCTCAGAAAGCCGAGAGGAATCCTGAACAAGAAGAGATAGCACGAAAAATGAAAAGCATCGAGCAAAGCCTAAAAAATATGCAGGGCCTGAGTGGCCACAAGAGCGTTTCCTATGCTGATCTGTGCATGTTCCCTCACGTGCATTTACCCGTTGGTTTCAAAACACCAAAGTTCGAAAGATATGACGGGTATGGAGACCCGATTGCTCACTTAAAGCGATACTGTAACCAGCTGAGAGGTGCTGGTGGAAAAGAGGAGCTATTAATGGCTTACTTCGGAGAGAGCCTTGCCAGAATTGCTTCTGAGTGGTATATGGACCAAGATATCTCCCATTGGCACATATGGGACGACCTAGCCCGGGATTTTGTAAGGCAGTTTCAATATAATGTGGACATTGCTCCGGACAAAAATTCTTTGTCCAACATCAAAAAGAAAGCTTCGAAAAGCTTCTGAGAATACGCTATCAAATGGCGTGAACAAGCGGCCAGGGTAAAACCCCCAATGGATGAGGCCGAGATGGTCAGTGTCTTCTTACAGGCCCAAGAGGCCGTTTATTTTCAAAACATGATGTCTGTCATGGGCAAACCATTCGCGGATGCCATAAATGGTAGAAAACGGCCTGAATATAGGCCACATCATGAGTCAATTAGCTATAAGAGCAACTCCCCAAGCCATCCAGAGCGGCTCGGGAGGTTTAGCAAACCGAAAGAAGAAAGAAGAAGGTGCCATGATAGCTTCAAGTTTGAGAAACTCTCGTCAACCCCGGGGTTATTTTGGTTCCACTTCCAGGGCCCCGCAGCATTACTACCCCCACCAGGATACAGCATATGCTATGGCTCCTCATCCTTATGCAGTAATGAATGCCCAGCCATACACCCGGCCACAACAACATTACAATAAGAGCAGAGCTCCACCTCCAAGAAACAACCCTCCTCACCAAGCCCCGTATAATCCACGTCCACCATAAAATAATTATCAATATAACACCCGTCCCCGTCAACCACCTAAAAAAGCTAACTTCACACCCATTTGAGTCATATTCCAGCCTCTTCCCAAAATTAGTTCAAATGGGCCTGTTGCAGCTTGTACCTCCAAACAGACAGAATCCAGAATCTCCATCCTACAGACCAGGTACCAGGTGCGCTTATCATTCCGGGACAGAAGGGTATGACACCGAAGATTGTTGGACCCTTAAGAGTGCAGTCGAGAACTTGATTGAGCAGAAGCGGGTAGTGCTAAGGGACGAGGAATTCCCTAATGTAACCAACAACCCGTTACCAGCTCACAACAACGGGCCAGTCATCGGGATGATCTGTGAGGACAAAGAATTTGACCCAGCCTTAAAAGTTATCATTGCCATTGCCGACTCAGAAAAGAAACCCAAAACAGTGGCAAAACAGGTTAGAGATGAAAAGAAGATAGATTCCACTCCCTAAAATACAGAAAAGGTGGTAGAAACAAAGACAGGGGCGGCACCAGCTAAAGATGCCATTCTCTACGTCCTAAGAGCCCCCAGGAAGGGACAGCTCATGTTAATCCCTCCTAAAAGATTTGAACAGAAGAAAGCCACACTGATTGTGCCAAAGATGTATGTACCGAAAGGAACTTACGTGGCACAGAGGCCAATAATTTCACCCGATTTGGATGAGCCTTTGGTCATCAGCCGTGCACCGCAGCATCCCATGAGAGACCCTACTGCCGTCCCTTGGAACTACAATAAGACAGTGGTCACATACAAAGGAAAGGAAGTTATGGGAGAAGTAGATGAAATGAACCTGTCTGGGAAGTATCATAACCCAGAAGAATCGAACAAAACAAAGCAGAAACGGTTTCCACTTAAGAAGCCGGTTAGTGCTGAAGAAGCGGAAGAATTTTTCCGGAAGATGAAAACCTCGGAGTATGCTGTAGTTGATCAACTTAGAAAGACTCCCTCCCAAGTTTCACTTTTGTCTTTGCTAATGAGTTCAAATGAACATCAGAAAGTGCTTCTAAAGACGTTGAATGAGGCGTATGTTCCGATTGAGACCACGGTTGAACAGTTGGAAAGAATGGCATAATGGTTTTTCGAGGTCAACCGAATCTCCTTCAGCCAAAATGACTTGCCTCCAGAAAGAGCCTCTTATAACAAAGCCCTTCATTTGACTGTCAAATGTGAAGGATATTATGTGAAAAGGGTTATGTTAGACGGTGGATCTGGAGTTGACATTTGCCCTCTATCAACATTACAAAGGATGGAAATTGGGACTGAAAGGATTAGACCCAACAATGTTTGCGTACGTGCTTTCGATGGTGTCAAGCGGGGCACGATAGGGGAAATTGACCTGGTCCTAACCATTGGCCCTGTAGATTTTGAAGTAACATTCCAAATTCTGGACATGGACACTTCCTATAACTTTCTCTTGGGTAGACCATGGATCCATGCCGCGGGAGCCGTGCCCTCTACTCTCCACCAAATGGTCAAGTCCGAACATGAAAACCAAGAAATAGTGGTCCACGGAGAAGATGAACAATCAATCTACAAGGACCCGTCAGTCCCATGCTTGGAGGCTAGAGAGGGTAGTGAACACATCATCTACCAAAATCCACCCCATATTTAACCCCAAACCCGGTCCAAATCCGATCCAACCCCCACTAATCAAAACGACATCGTTTCACCTCTCCTAATCCTAGCCGTTGGATCCAACGGCTCATAACTGAGCCCCAAATCCCTTAAAAGTGTCGAAAGAGACCTAACCCCCCAAACCCTAGACCCCCCATAACTCGTCTCTCTCCTCTCTCAAAGCTCCACCGCCCGAAAATCGCCTCACGACGGCGGACCACTCCCAAACCCAACCAAATCACTACCCCACACTCCTCACCTCACCCTCTTCATCAATCCACCATCAATTTGCCCCAAAACCCCACCGAATTCCTCTAATTCCGGATCTAGAAAACATAAACCCTACCTTTTCCTTTATTTTGATTTTTTCTGAGTTTTCAAGACTCGATTTGATTAAAATCTATGCTAGTTGATTGCTCTCGGTGAGAACGATTGATTAGCGTTATTTTTGGTCTATTTCGAAGAATTTCGGATTCGCTGGAGTCCGTTCAACTCAGCCGTCCTTATTGCCTACCCTAGGTATCCGTGTTCTCTTTGTTGATTTCCTCTCTTTTCCTTTCTTCTATTTTTTCTTTCTTCCTGTGACCATTGTGTTAAATTGAGGTCATTCGATAATTTCAGTTTAATCAGTGTTTAGTATAGAATCCATAGATTAGTTTGACTTTAATTACTCCTCAAAACTTGCTAAACTGTTGTTTAAAGTGATATTAATAACATAGTTAGTTCAATTTCTTGTTAATCAGTTTGATTGCATGAGTTGTTAGTTTAATCAATTTTATGTTAATTAGGCATCAAAACAAATTAGCTGCTAATTGATTTTGCATTACTGCTTTTGTTTGGATCCGTATGGTTTTGCAATGGTTCATTCAGCGTTAACCTAAGGTTAAAGGGGATTTTTGGAAATAGAAATAATTGTTAATTCAGTTGTTTGAGCTTATTTACTCTTTTGGGTGGTTATTTGTAATTAACAGAAGCTAAAGGGATCTAAAAGGAATAGGGAAGTTTAGGGCATAGAAAATCAGAAACAAGGGTGGCTATTTGTGTTAATCAGAACTTAAAGGGGTCAGTTGGGAAGTAAAAATAGATGGATTTCAGGTAAAAAATATCAGAAGCTTCTAGTATGGGACAACTATCCATTTTTAGTGTTAAAAAGATGCTGAAAATTGGGTAAAAGGACAACTGTACCAAAATCTGTTAAAAAAGATGTTATCCTATCCTTTTTTACAGCTGACATCTCTAAAATTTATGCTGGAATATTCCCCTTTGGACCCTCTCCCATCCTTATCCCTTCTTGCATTTCTCCTCTATATAAAAGAACTCATTTTCTTTTATTGGACATACGGTGAATCCTCTGAATACACACAGAAAAACCCCTGCATTTTTCTTTCCTGCATTCTTAGCAGAAAACACACATAGAATTCCTAGATGTCTTTAAGAAGTTCTGGTCTTCTTCATTCATTTATGATCTTTCTTGAGATGATTTTGGACTGAAGTTTGAAGCTTATTCTGGGGCTATTCTTTGCTGATTGTCTGCTTGATTGTTGCTATTTTTGAGCTTGCTGATCTATTTCTCCAATTTTTTCAGCCTTTGTTTGGTATTTATTGACTATCTTTCATAGAAGGTATGTGAGATTCTCTCCTTGTGACTCTTATGAAAATGGAAATACATAATAGACATGTTGATACTTTGCTTATTCCTACGTCTATGTGTTTTTTATTGTTTGTAGGATTAATTTGATCCATCTTTGTTCTATGACTAAATCTGATTCAGTTGTTTAGTTCAAGTTGAATACACATGCCATGTTAACTCATTTAACTAGGCTAATTTGTTACTTTTGTTCACTTATCTTGATGTAAGGTTGTTATTAAATCAAATAAGCTCATGCAAGTTTTCTCTGAATGTATCTGTTTTCATTTCTTCTAAGCAGACACAAGAATAAATTGTGAAATCATGAGTTACTGCTGTTAATCTCTGTTTCTAGCTCTCTTTGATTAAGCATGAATTCAGGTTTCGACACTGCTATAATATGCTGTTTGGGTTATTATCTGTGTTAATGCATAACGAGAAAAAGGTCAGTGTTACAACAGATATGGCGGATGTTCATGGATCTGGCCATTAATTGGTCAAATTTGTAAACCCCAAAGCCAAAAAAGATTGTGTCAAGAGTGTTTGAAGCCACTGTAGTCTAAATTTGCTCATGTAGAAAGATATTCATTTTAGGATTTTTATGTAATTCTGGGTATGAATGCATTGCATTATCTATTGTAGTTAGATAGATGTTGAATTTGATTGTTGTAATTGATTTATATTACTGTTATAAGCATGATAGAATCAGTGATAAATTTGTCAAATTAGTGTGATGCAATTACAATTTGAGTAATGGTTTGACAGTGATAAAGTTTTGTGCTATGGGATTAACGTTAAAGCCCAATACTCTGTCCTACAATTTTTGAACAAATTTCAAACGCATAAAGATTCCCTGTTAAGATTCTAACACAAATGTTTTGTTTCACTCAGGCCCCATGCTTCAAAGTCTGGGCCTGTTTGGCAGTTAATAAATAAAGTTGCCCCATTTGATCAAATAAGTGTCTCATGTAGTATTGAACCTTTATACCTAGCTAAGTGATGTGGAATACTTAGAGACATAATCACAACTTTAGGTTCACTTTAAAATTAGATTAACTATTGCAATTATGCATACGCATGCGTGACATAGTTGTGATGCCAAGGTATACGTTCGCGTAACCATGGTTAAACATTTTTTTCAAACGCCTTAATCAAATATTCGTAGAAATGCTTTAAGCGCGATTTTTAAATTGTTATCATGATTACATTTTTCTTTCAAATAAATTCAAAGTATGTGTTCGCGCAACTTTGACTAAACCTTTTCCTTAAATAAACTAAGTGTTAGGAATTGAGTATACATGCGTGTAACTCATCTTAGGTTAATCTCTTAAATATGGATTATCAAGTGATTAATATCAGTAAAAGGTAAAATAAACATAGGTCCTAAAATAAGTAATTAGACAAAATAGGCCAAGTACAAATTGCTAAGTGACCGTGCTAGAACCACGGAACCCGGGAATGCCTAACACCTTCTCCCGGGTTAACAGAATTCCTTACCTAGTTTTCTGGTTTCACAGACTTTAAATGAAGTCAAATTTTCCTCGATTTGGGATTTGAAATAAACCTGTGACTTGGGACACCATAAATTATCCCAAGTGGCGACTCTAAAATTAAATAAATAATCCCATTTCGACTAATGTTACTGTAATTGAAAAAACTCCCTTATATCCCCCTTTTCGGGTAAAAAGGAGGTGTGACAGTCCTCTCTGTATCTTTAAAAGGCAAAGAATAATGTATTTCGTTGTTTTTGTTCTGAAAGAAAGCGAAAAAGAGAGAGAGAGAGAGAGAGTGTGTGAGAGAGAGAAATAACTTTCTTAATCATAAGTAGTCACACTTATGAAAATCATTAAGTTCCAATGATTTTGAAATTATTGATAGGATTGTTATGTTAGATTGTTTATGTACTACAATCTCAAATTAATAAAAAATTTACATGTGGTATCAAGAGCAGGGTTTAGGAATGGATTTTTTTCATTAAGATTAATATTTGCTATTAATTTTGAACCCTAGTTATGAAATTTTGGGATTCTATGTTTACAGTTTGTCAGCCAAATCATTTTAAGGCCAAAACATATAAGAAGTTTTGTTTATGAGAATAATAATTGCTCAAATATTTCTACAGGTTTGGCCTTATTCTGAATTATAAGTTTACGTGTTCGGTAAATGTTATAACAGAGAACTTCTAAAGCTTCTTACATCCTTAAAAGTGCAGTTCCTCCGCGTCAATTCATATTTTGTTTCTATATATTTGATGTTGTCGGGCGAATGATAAACTAGAATTATTTCTGTAAACTCAAGTAACAGTTCTCGATGGTTGCATAACGGTTGGCTATAAATACAGATATTCTCTGTAACGGTTGTTCATTGAATGCTATCCGATATCAATTCTCCGAATCCTTGTTACCGGTTACTCTGTCTTCGGAATTCACTCAGCACCGATTTTATGCTTGTGACCGGTATCACTTACTTGCTGACTCACCTCTTTACCTGTTTTCAACTTCACGTGTCACCTTATCATTTGTCCAACTGTCACTAATCAGTTTTACCGCATACAGATAATCCCCCTACTTTTCGGTAATAATACTTTAGTGTTACCGGAAAGTAGAGAAAACCCCTTTCCTTAGCGGCCAAGTTTCTGAACAGTTTCTGACATTCACGTCTCTTCGTATTTAAGAACCCGAACACGTGTTACCCCACGATTTGGCAGATATTTTCATCAGTTTTCGAGGTAATCATGATCACGATTTTTGTCGTCTATAAATTTCTCCACTACTCATCACTTTTACCCTTCGCTTTTATAAACCCTTCTTCTTCCTTGAATCTCCTTAGAACACTACTCCAAAATACAACTCTCCCAGTAAAATCCTTCTTTTCAAATTTCTCGCTATCACGTCTTCTAACATCGTTGCCCTCAAAAACTCTGTCCTTCTTTTCGCTGGAGGTCCTAAGAAGAACAAAACAATAGAGGTTGATGTCGAGTCTGAACCTCCAACCGTGATGCGTTCCTCGTTGGTGTCGAAAACTTCGTATACTTGATTCACCATCAGCTAGGAGTCGTACTTTATTTCAATGACCTCGGAACCTAGTCCCCGAGCTAATTCAAGTCCTACAACCAAAGCCTCGTACTCGGCTTCACTGTTAGTTAGTGGCACCGTTCTAATTGTCACACCTCCTTTTTTACACATCTACCCCGAAGGATAAATGTATAAGGGAGTTTTTCCATTTAAAGTGACATTATTCGAAATGGGATTATTTATTTATTTAGAGTCGCCACTTGGGATAGGATTGGCTTTTGGTGTCCCAAGTCACCGGTTTAACTTGATCCCAAATCGAGGAAAATTTCGACTTCCCAGTTGGAGTCTGCGAACCAGAAATTCTGAATAAGGAATTCTGTTGACCCGAGGGAAGGTATTAGGCGCCCCCGGATCCCGTGGTTCTAGCACGGTCGCTTAAATTATTATAAATGGCTAAAAATCTGGTTTTATGCATGTTCAAACCTATAGTGCAATTTTATAAATTTGTTTAACCGCTTTTAATTGGTTTTATGAAAGTGAACGCCGTTTAAGAGCGTGTTTTCGGATCACGTCACATGAAATGCACCCGGATCCGCGACACCTCTTATTCAGCGTTTTGGGATTTGGATTTGGGTTGCATGAAATGCACACCCGAGTTTAGGAAGGTAATATTATTAAAATTCGCGCCTAAAGTGACTAGCGTATTATTATCTTTGCGGGAAGCCATGAAAATTCGCTAAATGGCATGTCCCGATTTCTAAGTATTTCAATAGAAGTAATTGAAGATGGCCACGCAATTTATGCATTTTATTTGGCGCGGCGCACCTCGTTTTTATTTTAAAGGTCAGCCTAAAAGAACTACAATTTTCTATCAAGTATTGTCTCTAAAGGGACCCTAATTAGCATTATGAATTATTATTAAAAAAAAAACATCAAGGGATTCGGGCCTCAAACTCAAGTCCACATTTGAACAAGAGGATAACCTCCTAGTTCAAACGTGCTGCTTAGCTTGGAAGGCCCAAATTATAATTTAAACTCAACAACCTTTAAATCTAATGGCTTAAATTTTCAACGTGTTGGGCCTCAAGAGCCAGCCCTTGGGAATAAGCCTGTCCCATTTTATTTGTAAAGCCACCTACAAGGCTATCCAGCATCCAGGCCATAGCACAGGCCCAGATAGAAAATAGGTTGCAAGTTGGGACTCAGGATTTAAATCACTTGGGCTTCTGATTATACATTAGGCCCAGATCCCATTTTTAACAAAAGTACAGCCTTGGGCTCTTGAATGAGCTCAAGCTGATGTTGATTCTTGGGTTTGTTAATAATTTTGTAGACAAATGCATAATTTGCTCAAGTCACAGACGTGCTAGCTTTGAAATGCAAAGTCTCCTGTAGATTCAAACTTGTCTAATAATGGATAACCAATACACTCGATCTAAAATTTTTAACAACCTTTAGCTTCAATTAATACACCTCAAAACAGCTCAGTCACAAACTGAATATGAAAGGGACTACCGGAGCTTCCACTTCGTTTCTGAATCATTTTTGAACAAACAGATGATATGACTATTATCTTTAACACATGTCTAATAATCGACCACAAATGTTTGATGAAGAAACTAAGACTAATATTATGTTCAAGCTACAGG